AATTTTGGCTGGAGAAATCAGGCTCCATCTAGGACATAGACTCTGGCTTCCATTCATTTGGTGATGTGCTCTGGTACGGTGTTCGCCCTGTCCCTTCTAATCCTCGCCCTGAAAGTTGTGTGTGGCAGGCACATCTAAGAAGCACTCAATGAACACGAGATTTTACAGATTTAAAAATTATCTTGGCCCGGCACGGTGGCTCATGTCTGTAATCCTACCCCTCTGGGAGGCTGAGGTGGGAGAATTGCTTGAGCTCAAGAGTCTGAGATTAGCCTGAGCAAGGGCGAGACCCGATCTCTACTAAAAATAGAAAAAAAGAGTTTATTTTGTAGAAAGGCTCTTCTGCAGCTATTAAAAAGATAGTCCTAAAACTATTTAATGGCATATCAACTTAGCGATGGTATAAAATAAAGAAAAGGACAAATAAAAATGAGTTCAGAATTTAGGGATAGAATAATCCTCATCAAGATGGACGTGTACTAAAACATCAAGAGTGCCCGTTTCTGGATGGCAGGATTTATTCTGATTTAATGTTTTCTTCAGTTTTCAAATTACTTAAAGTAAATCATTATTAACTTGTTCCTTTTTCTCTTTCTTTGACTGCAGAGAAGACAGACAACAGCATAACGAGACAAAAAAAGTGACCCGCAATCCCCACCGCATCCCAGATATGTATTTTTAAATACGTACACACACACACACACACACACACACACACACTTGAGCTTCATCCTTAATTTAAAACCATCCAAAAACAAAATCCAAAGCCTTCCTCCCAAATGAAACCACCGATAATAAATCCTTTGATTCATTGCAGCAGAAAGTATGTGCGTCTACCGACAGATCCAAGTTCTTCTCAAATAAGTCTGTATTGATTTTATAATCTGGAAATGGTAGCAAACATGCATTTAAAATGTGGGCATTTTTACTGTCAGACCCTTGGGGAGCAGCTCGGGTCACACAGCCTGTCCTGGCTCGATTGGGGAAGATCAAGAACTTAGGCCCCACCTCTGGGATGTGGGGGAGGAGAATTAGCCTGTGGCCCTTGGCCTGTGGTCTGAATGTCCAGGAGAGGCTCTGGAAGTCACATGCGTCCTTGTTCCTCATTTTCCCCATCACCAGAATGGCACAGACGCTGAACACTACACACCTCACTTGGAGACAGTAACCATCCCGGAGACACTAGTGTTGATTCCTGTGTTTGCAGCTCTGTTGCGCCTCTGTGGACGTTGCTACCAGCCACTTCTCTACATCCCTGAAAACACTCATCCTCAGTGCTTCCCAAGGCTCCCAACCCTTCATTCCCCAAGTTCCCCGAACTGTCCCCTCCATCTAGATCCAGCTTCCTCAACCCTCCTCTCAACAAAACTGAGGACTTTTAAAAATTTCTTTTGCTTTTTCCTATCCCCCCAGCGCAACCCCAACTTCTCTATAATTTAGGTCATTGATTGCACAAAGAACAGGGAACCATGGGGCTGAACACTCCTATTAGGCAATACACAGAAGGTTCATAAAATTAACTGGAAGCTTAGTCTCTTGGTGCAGTTCCCCACTCACTGAACTCATGTGACTCCGAGAAGTCACTAACATTACATTGTCCTTGGTTCAAAGTGTGTCAACTCGAGGGAATTTTCCTCCTCTGAAAACAGAGGGAGACAAAACAGGGTGTTCACAGAAGCTTTTGGAACTGGGCAGCCCTGACTTGTGCGGAGGGTTGAGGAGTGTCCCCGGAGCACATGCGAACAATGAGTCAGGGTAGAACGGCAACAGCGGTCTGCCCTGTGGTCTCACTGGGGACACAAGGCCAAGCTTTCATGCACCGACTCACAAGTTCATGCTTTCATTTAGAGTGTGTGCACGGCACAGATTCAAGGTCATAAAGCTCAAGTTGGAGTCCTTGCTTTTTATCCACCTGCTGCATGACCTTGGGAAGGTCCTCGAGTTGTTACGTCTCAGTGTATTCTCCTGTTTCGTGGGTCTCATCTTCCTTTCCTCTCTGTACAGCTGTCATGACGGTAAGATGAGGTCATAGCAGCCAAAGCAGTTTGCAGACTCCATGAGGTTAGGGAATTGTAAAGCACCTTCTGAGTCTAGGGATTGGACAAGCTCTTGAATAATGAGAATGGAAAGACCCCTTTCTTCATTTATTTATTTGACAAACATAACAGACAGACTCTTCACGATATACCAGGTGGTCTTCTAAGAACTTGACAATATCAACACATTTACATTCTCCTAATCACACAATGATAAATACACAACTATTTGTCCCTGTTTATGGAAGAGAAAACTATGGCACAGAGAGGCTAAGTAGCTTGCCTGAAGCCACACAGCTAGCAAGCAGCAGAGGCAGGATTTGAACCCAGGAGGCTGGGCCCTAGAGCCCATGTTCTTTAAAATTGCATCATGTCGTCTTCTTTGCTTGGTGCAGTAAACATAACACAAGACACGGAACAGGCTGACTGTGAACTGTAGCCCTGCCACTTGGCTGTGCGGCCTTTGGAAGGTTAATTACCTTCTCTGAGCCCTGACTCCCTTGTCTATAAAATGGGAATAAACATTGCAATGTTAGATGCAGAGGTTAAAGCAAAGCATGCTTTCTGTTCTATGCAGGTGCAATGAGGTACACAGAGTTAGAATTGCACGCAGGGCCTCACGCGAACCCGTCCTCATCCATTTACGTGGTCACTGATTGATTTCCGACTTGCCCATGCTCTGCCCACCCTCTTGTGTGACTTTGCCACCACATCCTCCAGAGTGTGAAGGACCCTGCACCCACCTGTTCTGGCACTCTCAGGGTGCCTGCCTGGCAGATCAGGGTAGGGAAGCTCCTTTAACAGTTCACAGTTTTTCAGGCCCAAGGAGCCTGCTCTCAGCTCCTGTTTCTTTTGTACTCCAAATAGCAAACATGGTCCCCACGCTTCTCTGTCCACCTCCCCTTCCGAAAACTTGCTGGTTAATTTTAGGGTTGGGGAGAGGCTCTGACGTGGGCCTGCCCACGTGAGGTTAAGCTTACTAGCGGCCTCTACCTCTGGTCAGGCTCGCTGGGAACAGCACTAGTCACTTCCCGAAGCTTGGTGGGGGCAGGAGCTTGGCCAGGGCAGTGGGCAGTGGCTGGGCACAACATTTCCAAGACGCTAAGGGCCCCGCCTTGGGCAGACCAGACCTACAACCCACGTCTTTGCAGAGGAGACATTGCTTCTCATCAGGAGTTGCCTGATACAGTTATATTTTTCAAATCCTGTTTAAGTTTTGACCACGAATCTGGTTCACCTGAGGCCCCTTTATAGGATAAATGCTGACGGATTATCTCAATAATAAGGGGAAAGTCTAGTCACCATTCTTTACTCTCCATTAAAGGTCTCGCAAACTGTGTATTGATTTTTTTTTAAAGGAGAGAAATTGGAAGAAGCATGTACCAATTAAGAATAAAACGAACAATTTATTACCTTCAGATCTTTAAGGAAAATAGAGAGTAGAAAAGCACTTGCCTTCTCCCCCCGCCCCCCATATTGAGACATAATAATTAGGCAACTATGTACATAACATTATAGTAAAACCTGAGACAGGCTGCCTTGGCTCAAGCTTCTGTACTAGGTCATAAAGATCAGCCTCTGCTCCCAGTGCTCTGAATTTTGCAAACCCCTTTTCCCTTTGTCTGGAGGGGGCTTAGAAAAATGGTTTCTTTCTCTTCTCCCTTGTTTTGTAACGCTCATATGCTTACCTGTCTCTAAGTGCTGCTCGGGGAGCTCTCGGAAGTCCTCAGTCACTATGTGTTCCCTGAGCCTTGACCCAGCTCCCACTGTGCGTCTTACTTTTTATATTAGAGCAAAAAGAGGGGATGCGGGGAAGTTCCGGGACTGTAATAGTAAAGGCAATGACAAATATTTCAGTAACAACCTGTCCTGCACGTGTCCAGCCAGGCCACCCCATCATTTTTGTGTGTGCTATGATTCTATGCTCAATAAATGTTTGTTAATAGGCAAATAAATATCTCACTCAAGCTGAAAAATAATCTCCAGCTGGGCAGGAAATTTTGTGTTTTTTACTGATGTGTCCCAAGAACAGTTCCTGACAAATAGCAGGCCCTTGGTTAATGTACAGCAGGCCCTCCATAGTTGACCACCTCCCTACACTGACCACCTCCTAGAGTTGACCTGATTTTCATAGACCGGATGTGCACCTCATGTACGCTTCAGTACAGTAGTTCCTTATGTTGACCAGTTTATGCAGTTGCTTAGGTGGTCAACTTACGAAGGCTCTACTAGGTATTGAATGAACACACAGTAATCTTCAGCTCAGGGGTTCATTCGATATTCAAAAAGTTCTTTTTCCAACACCTACTTTGATTCAGGAACTGAATGAGGCGCATGAGCTCAGTCACAAATAGGACTGAACTGGGACTGTCTGTTCTTATCTTTCAGGGGAGGAGAGGGAATTGTTCAGGTTCACGTAATACTCTGTTGTCGCTGATGTCAGGGAGACTTTGGGATACTGTCTTGGGGAACAGTGGAGAACGTTGAGGAGTGAAGAGATGGTGCTTAGGTCAAGAGAGAAATGGGATGGAGGCAGCAGTTGCGTTCCCGGGGATAGATGAAAAGGTCTCACGATTGATTGAAAGGGAGAGAAAGCAAGGAGTCAGAGAAACTGAGGACGCCACACCTGTAGTGAGATGCACTCTCACTGGGATTTCACTCTAAAGACTGCAGATAAGTTTCCAGGGGCCAACAGGGAATATGTCTGTTTTGGAAAGATCACTCTGATTCCCGTGTATAGGGTGGATTTCAAGGGAGGAGCCCCGGTGGGGGGGAGGCCGGTAGTGGTTCTCCTACAACCTAGGGGAGATGTGCTGGAGACCTGGGTGAGAGTGGACAGGCTGGGAGAACTGGGATTCATGAGATTTAGAAGGAAGGACTAATTGAGGTTTGGGGATGAGAAGGGGAACATGTAATGGGTGGAGGTTTCTGGTTGAGTCAATTGGACAGATGGTTTAAAATATTTCACGTGCCATGGGGGGTAGAAAATTGACATGGGTTCATATGTATGTCTTAGGAGAGATTTATGGCCCCAGCTGAACTAATGCCTCAATTTGCTTTGAAGGCACAGGGATGAGAAGAAGGAAGACAGGGAATTGGGAAGCTTGTGCTGACACGAAGGCACCAGAGAACCTGCAGGTAAAGGACATGCCTCAGTGTCTTGGGCTCTGACACTATTTTCTATTTTGTTAGATTTCAAGGATATCACTTCTATCCAGATATCCATATCATGGTGGAAGACTAGTCTGAAATGCAGTCCTCCCTCTTTCCGTGATTCTATGTCTGGGGATTCAACCAACTACAGATCGAAAATATTTGCACCCCCCTACACAAAGGATGAGTGTGTCTGCAGTGAACATGTAGAGACTCCTTTCCCTGTTATTCTTCCCTAAGCATATAATACAACAACTACTCAGAAGTCATTTACACTGGATTAGATGCTACACATAATCTGGGAATGACTTAATATATATTCACAGATGTGCATGGGTTATATGCAAGTACTATATCATTTTATAGTACGGACCTGAGCACCTGCAGATTTTGGTATCTTCAGGGGGTCCTCGAACCAATTCCCTGAGGATATGGAGGATGTCTGTCTTCTCCTGGACAGCCTCTAAATAATGCTAATGAATGTCAGTCTTCTGGTGGCTGAGAGTGGTGTGGATGAGAAGGGACTCGGGCTGACTGCCTGTTTCAGTACATTGATCCTCTCCTTGCTTTTTGGATCTTTTAGATTTCATTACTTGGCGTTCTCATGAAGACTTTAATTCCTTTCATTTTAGTAATCTTGGAAGTGTAATATTAGGAAGCACATTAATATTGCCCAAGGAACAACCCCACACTTAGACTCCATCCATCCATTTATTCATGCGGGTTGGTCAAGCGGTTTTCAAATGTAGTTGAAGTTTCTGGTGTCCTTCATCCTGGGTGGGGCCCATGGGTTGGTGGTGCTCTATCCTAGAGGTTATCGTGTGCAGCGAGGTTCCATGAGGGCCGGGACCATGTCTCTTTCATTTCTGCCCATCTCCAGTGCCTCAGGCAGGGTCTGGTATAGAAATAGTGTCCAATGAATACTGGTAGAATACATTAATTTAATTTTGCACACATCAAATACATGTTAAACATTTTCACATTTACCCCAATTGATGACAAAGAATATTTTGTGGTGCTTTCCTTAGACAACCGTTGCATGCCAGGGTTCAGGAAATTAATCACTTCTGAGCCACAAACAGGAATGAGGTTAGGATGTGTCATTCTTTATCCTTTAAAGCACTTTCTTCTCAGGTACTTTTTCCTTTCTGCTGTCACCTGTGGTTTTTTGGACAACTCCCATTTTTGGAGAATGATTCTTGATCCACAAGAGACACATACAATGCTCCCTAGTTAGAGGACAGTATCTGTTATTGTATCAAGACCCAATAGACACCCTCCAAGTGTCACATCTGGCCCCTCCATCACTTAGAACTAAGTTGTGGGGCACCGACCTGGCCGAGTTGGCCCAGGCTCTGCCCTCTCTGACCCTGCAATATCTTGCCTTTGTTTATTCCTCATTTCCTCCAGGCATTCTGTGTCTCTGTTGCTGTGAATCCAGAAGACTTAGAGACCCAACCTTCGCAAAGTAAGCAGAGGGCTGGTACAGTGCCCTTGACCCACAAGATGGTCCAGCTGATGCAGCGGGAGTTTATTTCACTTGACTCCAATTTAGCTGTCCTGAGCCCCTTCCTTATATCGCCAAGAGACTTCCTAACAGATATGTAACCCGGCGATTCAGGCAATTATTCACGTATTCCCCCACATCATTAGTTTTATGGAACACTGCCAGGGGGTATATTTTTCTTCTTAGGACTCCTGAGAATAAAAGAAATAGAACTTTTACCATGAAGTCATATTAAGGAGTTTATTTCTCAGAAAATACCCCATAGCACTTTTATAAAACCTTACACAGAGAGACTGCATTTAGGGAAAGAGTTACTTTTACTCACCTGCTGCCATGGGGATCACTATCAAGGCTGCCTGACTTCCAGAGCATGGTGTTAAAAAAATTCTATAGTATCTACTGACCACAAAGAGGTGCCTATGGCTATCATAGGAAAGATATGGGTCAGGTAAATTGTTGGGTTTACCTAGGGGGACTATAATAATCCAAACTAGGGTGTATATTTGAGGAGAAAGGTGTTATTATTAATTATACTGCTGTAACAGGCATAAACCAGGGTTGAGTAGGTACTCTGGGACAAATGGTTATCCCAGACTTAATACTTGAATTCTACCACTTACTGAAATTTCTCTCCATGGGCCTGGATGATAAAGTAAAAACATGAAGAATTCAGCCCATTTATTACAAAATATTAGCATCATGACCCAAAGTGGTAGTTTTTTTCTACTGAAGTGGAGAACAAGGAAGGGTCGGATGCATCAGCTAGCTCTTGCTACAACAGTGCTGCATAACAAAGCCCCCCACAACTCAGGGTCTTCCAGCAGCAATCATTTATTCTCCCTCATCCACCTGAAGATCAGCTGATCCAGGCTGGGCTTGAATCCAGGCTACAGGTTGGGTCCAGTGTCACATGTCCCTCCTTCTCCATGGGCCAGTGGGCCAGCTGGGCATGCTTCCTCCACAGTCAGGCAGGAACCGTGTGATGCTTCCTCACACTAAGACTTGGATCTGACACACCATCAACATCTACTCACATTCCCATGGCCAAAGCAAACCCTATGGATGAGCCCAGCCTCAGTGGGCAGAGGAATATACTCTTGTCTTCAGTGGTACGTGCAGAGGACAAAGGGACAGGAAGGAGAAATGAATGGGGAACATTAGGCCAAAAGGAGTTTGCTTTTCCTCTCCCCAGGCCTCTGGGTTGACTCAGTTTTTTTAACCAGTTGCAGGGTGAGAAGGTGAAGTCAAGAGAGCAGGGGCCCTTTGGGTCTGCTGGAGGCAGGGAACCATCCCCGGGTTTACTGCAGAAAGGATATAGAGAAGCAAGCTCTCTTTGATTAGAATATGAATGCCCAGAGGAAGAGGGGACAGAGAGATGGACGGAGGCTCTCATGATTCAGAATAGCAGGCCTACTCTGGGAAATACAGTGCAATGGATGGAAATCTCCTTTTACTCACCCATCAGATCAATCATTTCTCTTCTCACAGGAAGGGCAGGGTGAGGGGACAGATGCTCAGGCCCATGCTGCTTCCTCCTGAGGGAGTGAGGCAGAAACCCTTTGCCTGTAAGATTCTGAGGAAAAGTCCCAGCTGGAAGCACGGTCTGTGGGACGTGCAGGAACCCACAGAGCGCCACCAGGTGGAGATGCTCGGCGTTGCTGGTGAGGACTGGCCTTCCCACTGCTTTTTTCTCAGTAGTTCCTTCTGGGCAGTGCTATTGCGGGCTTGGTGCTCCATGTCATTCAGAGTGGCTGCCTACAGTGTCCCTGCACCCTGCTGCACGATGAAGCCCTGAGCCATCATCTACCTGCTGTCAGAGCCCTGCAGCCTCCACTCAGGTGGGTGATGGTGGAGAATGAGAGCTTGCTAATCAGACAAACTAATCACGCTGATTATACCCATCCCAGGGAGTCTCCTATCTAGTGTTCAAGCCAATTATAGGGCTCTGAGGGGATGACTGGCTGGGGGTTCAGGATAAGAGGAGGGTGGGCATCAGCAAAGGGAATTCAGGGCCAAACACACCTCACCCACTTGGCTGAGATGCGCTTCCTGTGTTCAGGATGGCTGAGATCTGGATGCATGGTGTTGATCACAGCGGCAGACCGATCAAAGTCTGTAGCGGACTGAAGGGACGGCTCAGGGTCACAGGCCCTGTAGATTCTGGGCCTTCATCTCTCCCTGCTGCCATTCTCCTAGTTCTAGTTTCATCTGCTCTCATGCAGGCTCTTGCACTGACTTCCCACCTGCTCTGCTACTCTCGTCCCCAAACCCAACATATGGCATCTCGATTTGTCTTTTCTAGTTTTCATTATTTATGTAACCAGAAAAAAATGTTTAAAAATACAGAAAAGAGCAGTGATGTGATAGCTCACACCCATCTATTTGCCACTCTAAATCAACAAATGCCAATTCTCTACCCTGTTCTACCTATCTCTTTATTGAAATTGCATTGCACGCCATGGAAAAGGGCACATACCATAATTGTGAAGCTGTCAAATTTTCACAAAGGGACCACCGTCATGTAACCAGAACTGCAAAAAAACCCTAGAATATTGCCAGCCTCCCCTTTTGCTCCCCCTTTATTGATCTCCCTCTGCCCTGCCAAAGGGAGCCACGGTCCTGAGTCTAACGGCACAGACGGGATTGCCTAAGTGAGAACATTGCTTAACCGTGGTTACATGCTGTGTTTTCTTTCTATGTTGTCTTTATTTTGAGCCTTCCTTTTAAGAATGTTTTTTTTTATTATTATTATTTGGGATTCACTAAGGGTAAAATTAGTTTACAGTAATTGCATATGTTAGGTAAAGTCCCTGTTGTAATTGTGCCCTGCCCTCAAGAGGTGTGCCATACACGGTGATCCCATTCCCTCCCTCCTCCCCTTTCCCTGTTCCCTCATTCCCCTGCTCTGCACCTGGAATTGATCTGAGTTTTTCTTTTCTGAGAGTAGATCACCTACTGCCTTCGTACTAGAACTGTGTACATTGGACTCTTGCTTCTCCATTCTTGGGATGCTTTACTAAGAAGAATGTGTTCCAGCTCAATCCAGTTAATGCAAAAGATGTAAAGTCTCCACCTTTTTTAATGGCTGAATAGTATTTCATGGTATATGTATACCACAGCTTGTTAATCCATTCCTGGGTTGGTATTTTGAAAGGCAGATGTGAAGTCCTTTGTGTTCTAATTCTCTTAATTTTTTCCCCCTCCTCAAAGGCACCAGACCTCATAAATGTGATAAGATGTTCAGGTTATGTCTTTATATGTTTGTGTAGGTGTATAGCATTGCTTTGGGTGCATTTTGGTTTTCTTTCAATACACATTTGCCCAATGTAAGAAAGCTCTCCTGCTTGCCTGTTTCACAGATGGAGCTTTCTGAACCACACAGTGGTTTTTGTGACTCCTTCCTTGTTAAACATCCCCACTTCCACCTTTCCAGACTGATCCTGGACATGGGGACAGTAGGTTGATGCCTCTTTGTATCATGTGAGCCAAATCCTATCCCCGACGCTTTATAAAGATGAGTAGGGTGAATAAATGAATTACTGAACAAAGTCTTGAAAGTCCAGAACAAATGCCCCCTTCTCTATTGGCCCCTCTGGGGAGGGGAAGGTATCCCATTTTTAAAATCTTTTTCTTTCTCTTCTTTCCTTTTTGGTTGTCCTATCAATGCCCACCTTTAAACTTCCCAAAGACTTAATTCCATCAGTAAGCCCAGTGTGAAAATTAGACCTCCTTCTGAAGAAGTAGACATTTCAGAGCCGTGTATGATCCTTATAGCTTTGCTCCTGATCTGTTGTTTTGGAGTAGGGAATGGCAACTTTCTTTCCAGTGTTTTTCTAACTGTAAACAGAGAAGCACCACAGCGATGTAAGGAAATTACACCACTGAATTCCTACCTCAACAAATTGGTGAAAGATCAGTCATCCTTCAAGGTGGCCAGCCCTGGGGTTTCTGTTGAATTCTGTTGGCTTTTCCTGACTCCCTGGGGTGGTGGTGCAAGATCAGGACCAGAAGGAGATGGGCCACTGATGATATTCTGAAGGGTCATCTCCCTGCTATAGTGGATAAAGAAAAACTGTTTCTGCTGGTCCAGCTGATAGCACCAAGACCATGGGGGAGTCTCTGCTCTCAGGACTCAGCTTCGTTCTGTCCTCCCATCACCTTTCCCCTCCTAGAGCTCAGGCTCCCTTCTCACTAACATAGGGCGGGGGAAAAATAATCCCTTTTAGATTTTGATTGGAATCTTGGTTATGCCGCTGAGTTTGGATGAGCTAAACAAGCTCATGACTTCTCTGGTCCCCCGTTCCTTAACTGGGCTGTGGGCATATTATTACTATTTCACAGGCTTATTGGGGAATTAAATCATGAGTAGTAAAGTTTGTGCAAATAGTATTCACGATGTTTTCCTACTTGTGGATATAAGTAGATATAAAGCTAGAAGGACATACAATAAATGTATTGTACATATTATATACATTTTTGTGTGTCTTTCTAAACATTTTCCTATATTGCTTTTGATAGTTACATAATATTCTAACATCTGCTTGCTCTGTATGGACACCTAACCATTTCCACACTGTGGGTCATTGTGTTTATTTTCAATTTTTCATCAAGGAGAGTTCTGAGGTCAACCCAGCCTGAATTGTTTTTCTTTGCAATCTCTTGCAAACAATATGTTTTTTATTATTTTTGCTTTGCTTTGCTTTCTGCCTGGGATATTTACAATTTATTTTTTTCTTGCTATCAAGCTGTGGGTTTCTTTCTTTTAACTTAATTATGCTTGGTGCAGCATATACCATTTTATTTCCCAATTTTAGGTCTTTTTCTTTTTCAGCTCAAGGATTTGATTGGTGTTTTAGTGTCATTACTTTTATTTTCTTGAGACAGGATCTCACTCTTCTGCCCAGGCTAGCAATGGTGTGGCCATAGCTCATTGAAGGCTTGAATTCCTGGGCTCAGGTGATCCTCCTACTTCAACCTCTGAATAACTATGACTACAAGTGTGCCTACCTTGTCTGGCTATTTTTTAAATTTTTGTAGAAATGGGGGGTCTCACGATGCTGCCCAGGCTGGTCTTGAACTCCTAGCCTCAAGCAATTCTCTCACCCCAGCCTCCCAAAGCATAAGGATGTGAGCCACTGCACCTGTCCTCAGAGTCACTACATTTTAGAGACTTTTTAAAGGAATACTAAGATTTTTTATTTTTGTAAATTGGATTACTTTTCTCTATTTTTTATATAAGTCATCTATTTGCTTATTTTTGACTCTAGATCCTGAAAGATACATTTCAAGTTTGTTATTTCCTGAAAGCTTAGTTTTCTGCAGTGTAAATTCTGTTCTTTATTGCTTCTAATGTAACTATAATTCTAAAAGTGCATTTATTGTTTCTCTGCCTCCTTTGTTATCTTAGCCAGATTTTTTTATTTACCTTAACCTGTATGTTGCTTTTGCATTTTGTTAATTTTTCATCTTCTTTTCTCCCCCTAGAATTCATGCCTTATTGCTATTTATCTATCTATACATATGTTAAAAATACACACACACACACATACATATACAGTTTCTTCTACTTTTTTTTTTTAAGAAAAAAATTCAGATGCATGCTTTTTCTTTACATCATTGAGCCAATTACAGTCCATGGACCAAATCTGGCCTGCTCATTGTTTTTGTAAATAAAGTTTTATTGGAACACGGCCACATTCATTTATGTATTATTTGTGGCTGCTTGCTTTCCCACTGTAGTGTAATTACAACAGAGACTGTATATGACCTAAAATATTACAATCTGATCTTTTATAGAGAAACTTTACCAATCCCTGTGTTATTCCCCTTTGTTTCACCATTTTTAAATGAAGACAGGTATTTCTAAATGCACCACTTGCCTCCAAGGGCTACAGATCCCATTGTCTCTGCAGGTGTTCATGAAGTCATCCCCTTAAGTTAGACAGGTGTTTACCCATCAGGGTATCTACAGGAAACAGATTAATTATTCTGTAGAGTGGGTGACTGGTAAGAGATTTATTAAGAGATTATTTCCAAAGGTGTGGAAAGAGTTTAGGGACTCTAGATAGGGATAAGAGCACCCTGAGTCTAACTGTGAGCCTGAAGGGTAATGGGGACAGGGAAGTGTTTCCAGAACCCAGAAAGAACTGCTGTGTGGGAAGCTGCCTGACAGGAATTATAACTTTTAAGACATCTAAGTCACACTGATTAGGAGGATGAAGCCAGAGCAACCAATATCCCCACTTTACTCCAGTGCTACAAATGTCACACTTGTGATCTCATTTGCTGATGTCAACCAGAGACCAGAGAACAAGGATTCCTTCACTGCATCCCACACAGGTCTCCCTCCTGGGGACATGCATAGAGTGGGGTAGGATTTGTATATAGACGTGATCCCCTACTTGGAATTAATTTTCATGAGCTCTAGACTGAAGGTGTCTGATAGAACTTGCTGAGATGGAGTTGTTCCCTATCTAGGCTGTCTAATGTGCTGGCCACTGGCTGAGTGGCTACTGAGTCCTGCAAATGTGGTTATGAACTGAACTTAGGAACCCGATCTTTAATTTTACTTAGTTTTAATCCATTTAAATTTAAGTAGCCACGTACCGGTGGTGCCTGTTACACTGGACAGAGAGGATTTCTATTTCTAATCCTGGGGAGGATTTCTATTTTTATAGTGTGCTTTGCCGAACATCATGAGATCTTTTGATGCCTGCTTCTTTGAGTGTGAAATAGATGATTTGATTTTGGGT